TTTTTTTTTTTTCTTTTTGACAATGTTAACAAATTTCATAACCAATTGTAAAAAAAAAATCATTTTAATGGATAATTTTCATGTAAAATAAAGCCAAACGTGAACAAAAAAATCCAAAATTTCAATTTTTTTCCGGGTGAAAAATTATACCGATCAAACACACTCTATTAACAATTCCCTGTAAAACAATTTCTAAGCAGTTACTTTAGCTGAAAATCATTTTCTTTCCACTTATTTTTCACTATCGCAATCAAACGCACTTCAAAAGTCAGTTGCAGAACCACAATTGGTTCTAGAACTGAGACTGACAGTTGGTCTAACCTTTTTGTTTGCTTATTAGAGGAAGAATGCTGCAAGAAAGGATCGAACTGGTGAGGAAGAAGAAACATGGGCGCTATCTCGGTTTTATCCTATGATAGAGGTTTGATTAAAGTGTTTGCATATGCTACTTGACTCTAAACTTCAAAAGTCCCGCAACTTACAAGCTAAAACTCCTCATCGTTTCACACTGCACTTTTTGTTTTTTCCTTATCTGCATAGATGTAGGTTTTTATTGGAAAAGAGGTTACAACTCTAGAGCCTACAGTTTTGAGTGTGAGCTGACCTTGTCACGCTCCGTCCCAAACTCCTTACTAAACTCAAGACGTGACGTGCGCCGATGATAAGTGCCAGCTTAGCACTAGACCCATCATCAAGGCAACAATAACTATACTTCAAACTGCATGGTCCCCTTTGACCAATAAAAACCCCTTTTTCGTTATTATTTTTCTTTTTGAAAATTTTGACAATCTCCTTTGAAAATGGAACCATACTCAATCCTGTAATCATAACATTTTCCCAAACACCAACACATAAACACCATAATATCAGTCACACATCCCTTCAAAATATCTTTATCACTAAGCAGCATAATTGCTTCCCAAAAGATAATAGTGACGCAGTTTAGTTTACAATACTCCATTGTGACCAATGGTACATTTAAATACAAAAATCCTCCAAATATGACGTAAATGATTTACTTGATGATTACACTGTTCTAATCGATAGAATCTACAATTGGTGGTGGTAGTGACTGCAAAACTATTAGAATAATCTTCTTAAACGAAAGAACCTACAATTGGTGGTGGTGGTAGCAGCTACAAAACTATCAGCATTACCTTCACCACTGCACAGTCAACTGCCTTCTATAAGAAAGATGTTAAGAACATATATGAGATGATAATCCCAGTGAGTGGAGTGTTACGAAGATAGTTATTTTGTCCTTTATATATGTATCTACATTTATACAAAAATGAAACTGATATTCCACTTATCTTGCTGTACTCATTATTCTTGAAATTTGTATCATAACACCATATAAATGCCTAATGCTGGTGTTAAATCATAAATTATACTCAAACTGTTATCTAGTAATGATAATAATTAATACATCAAAATGAGTAAGTACACAAGTCGAATTCAGTAAGCTATAATATAATTTGAAATCAATAAGCTGAACGGTAAGCTGGAAAATGTAAGCTGCAAGCTAATAATCCCATATATCTACTAGATAATCACATCACAACTTATACCCCATGTAATCATCTGCTGATGATCTAAAAGTTATAAAGTCATATGCACATAAACTGTCTGATCAACACTTATGTACATGGCCGTAGCCCCTCAATGCACGAATTGGAAATAAACATAATCATCTGTATGCACGGTCGTAGCCCCTCAGTGCATAAAGTGGAAATAACACAATCATCCTTATACACGGCTGTAGCCCCTCAGTGCATAATAGGTACCCTTACACACGGCCGTAGCTCCTCAGTGGATAAGAGTCACCTTTATACACGGCTGTAGCCCCTCAGTGTATAGGAGTCAAATACACGATTCTAGTACACGGCCGTAGCCCCTCAGTGCACTAGAGTAAGATGATTACATCGGATATTTTCTGATGGTCTCAAGATAATCATGCCCATTTACTAATTTCTCGAAACTAAGATATTTCATGCAACTAATATGATTCTCTAAAAATGGGGAATCATTTCAATATTAATATTAAATATGATTATAAGCTCATAAATTCAAAAGAAATCTTTCTTTCGAAAAAATATGTTCTCCACTCACTCAAAACAAGTTACAGTCTATGAAGATAGGTAAGCTTTTCCAATCTTTGTGTCATCACATGAAAAACCATACAAGATAATTAATTCAACCAATATCAAGTCAAAAAACCTCTAATATGCCATGTTATGATACTTCAACTAAATTTCTCGATACTTGGATAAATGTCCCAAATTATTCATTTAATCAAATTGGACCAATTACGCTTTCTAGTCCATTTACTAGTAACCCATACATCAACATAACCGTCAATCCGAGAATAAATGCAATTATCCACTTCAATCTAGTGACAACTAATAACTACCATTCAACCAATCAAATCACCATCTTATTGCTAAATATCATGCTATCTTGTAAGTATTTCATCACCACTATAATTCCCACTAACAATACCTATTCAAACATTCAATAGAAAATCTAGGGTTTGCCCAAAAATAG